ACTGCTACTGCTACTGCTACTGACGAACCGCCCCCGCAACGGAGCTATCTGTCGGTGCTTGCACGAAACATTCACCAAAGAACATCACAAGCCTCTGACACATGTTTCGGGGACTCAAGCGACACGCTGCAGCTTTTTTCGTCTCGTCTGCTTGCGAGATACTTTATAACTGTCTTCGAAACGCAAGTGACTGAGGTGGTGCAGCCAACTCCCACGACGAGGAGAATCATCCTTCCACGATGAATCAAACCGAGACACGTCCTTTCAGCCCTGAATGTATCACGAACACCGATAGCCTTCGTATATGCCTAGGTCAAAAACCACGCGATTGGTGTGCAGCAGCGCTTGTCGCACCTGCCAATTAATCCGTTCAACCACTTCGTTTGAAGATCTGCAGCATGTCACCCGCAAGTGCGGGGTCATGCGTCGCATTCGATATGCACAAATTCCCTCGAACTACCTCATGAAAAATCCAGCCAAGAAAGATGGAGCGGACAGGAGGCTTGTCGGAACATGGTCAAAGTTGAGCCACATCGGTGTCAATACGACTTCGACACTGTAGACTAGGACAGAGAAGAGAATACACCTGAGACATGCAACACACTTCATTGGGATATTTTATGCGGTCAAGGTGATATGGTCAGTGGAACAGAGCCACAGAAGAGTATAGCATGGAGCTGCGGGGTATTTCTGCTGGCTCATGGGCAACTCGCGGGAATCTCTCTGCTAATTCCTGCATCAGCATCGGGACGATCCCGTCCGCGGACTGTTTCAAGAGCGGAGCGGACGTCCTACCAAGGACAAACAGTAATGTGCCATGGAAGCCAGCCGCCTGCTTCCAGCAGGGGCGTGCTCAGCCCCAGAGCCGCTGAGCACTAGAGGCTCTGCATGTAAAGCGCCTTCCTTTCCCAGTCTTTTCAAAGGACTCTCGTCCCAAGCCAAGCCCGGCATCCGCCTCATGAAGGAGATGGGGCATTTTGCAAAAGTGTCTTCTGGCTCTCACATACACTCACTCCAAAGCTCCGGTTGTTGTATTTGGCAAGAGCTCGATTGTTCCAGGACCTGTGTCCGGGGTTGCCTTCTAGCAGCTTCTCGAGTACCTGATAAGATTTTTGGAAAGCTTTTGTGGAACTGTGAGAAGCCACTGCAGCAGCTTGAGAATCATTGCACAGGGACAGGAACTAGGTGCACTGGAAGCGCGAATCAGGACCCTGATGCAGAGGTCCCCTGGGGGCCTTTCGAGCTCGATCACCGGGCAGAAACCACCGGAACACTGGAAGCGTAGAAGTAGGGCTGCACCTCGGGCCGGTTTAACGTCCGTTTCAGCCTTTGTCCGTTGGGATGCGCGTGCTGGGCATAGTGTTCGGACTCACAAATGAGCTGAAGGTTTTGGAGTTTGAGCCTGTCGCCTGGTTAAGTCTCATTTCAGGCTCCGGGTGCGTGTGGAGCCTGTCCATCAACATGGATACTTCCAGACTTCGAGGCACCTGTCGTGCAAATAAAGGAGATCAGCCCATTCCGTAACCTGCCTGAGCTATGTGCATACATATACATATATAC